TTCAAACATAAAAGTTGTTATCTTTTTGCCTTTGGACGAATGACCCTTTCCATTCTCCACTCTTTTCCAGTGCTGCTGCTTTGTTTTAGTGGTTGGTGGTTATAACTTGGCCCAGACCCATAGATGACAGCTGACAGGATCATGGTACCAGATGGGACTTTCACCTTGGAGTACGAGGAGGGCCAGGGTCTCTCCTCTGTCTCCTCCGCCATGTCCATTGACAACTTGTTCCCCGCTTTACTGGAGTGCTTTGGCATCATTCTGTGCGGGTACATAGCTGGAAGAACTAACATCATCACTTCCACCCAGGCCAAAGGGTTGGGGAACTTTGTGTCCAAGTTTGCCCTTCCAGCATTGTTGTTTAAAAATATGGTGCTGCTGGACTTTGCCAATGTCATCTGGCCTTTCTTATGGAGCATCCTCATTGCCAAAGCCTCTGTGTTTGTAATTGTATGTTTTCTAACACTGGTGGTGGCCTGTCCAGAGAGTCGATATAGTAAAGCTGGTCTTTACTCTATATTTGCCACCCAAAGCAATGATTTCGCTTTAGGATATCCTATAGGTGAGTATATTGTCAAAGCTTTACCACTGTCAGAATTAACTTACACATTTGTAACGCCTGCACAAACAGTACTTAAAGTGTTGTTTGTTTTGTCATTCTTTAAACATTTGCTAACATACCTTGGGGAATGATACATTGTTAGTTTAATTGCTGTTTTAAGCATAAACTAAACATATTCTTTAGTACAATTTAAAGGTTCTGTATTACACAAAATTAACTCTTATTTAGATGCTAGATGCCATGCTAGAATGCTCCTCAAAAACATCCCTGGAGTTGTGTTTTGTTTCATTCTCACATGTTTGAGTAATCCTTTATTATTAGTCTGTCTACATCTCCAAAGCAGAAAATGCTCCATTCCACCTTATGATGTCGTGAAGTAGTAGTTTTCAAGTTAACAGCTACCTTTTACCTTTAGTTCAGTAGAAATTGGTATTTCTTGGGCTGAAATTATTCAAGTGATTCTAATGAAGGTGTATGGAGTTTAAAAACACAGTGGAGCACTTCCTGTATTACCACATGACATCACAAGGTGGAACCGAGTGTATTCCGTTTGAGAGAAGAACTCAGCCTATATATGCAGGGTTTGTGTGTTAAACATGTGTGACTGAACAAAAAACACAACTCCAGGTATAATTGTGTTGAGGAAAGAACATTGTAGGTCAGAAAATAGCATAATACGGGTCCTTTAATACAACTCAAACAAAAATGTACTGTATTTTTGCACAATTTTCTTTTATAAATATTAATTTGCATTTACTTAAAGACTCTTCTATTTTACCTTAACATTTTCTCACTTACATGAATAAATACTCTGGATTACATTTAACATGCATTTTATTGTTTGTGTTTTGCAGTTGCAGCGCTCTACAAGAACACATACCCAGAATACCTCCAGTACATTTACCTGGTCGCACCTGTCTCTCTAATGATCCTCAACCCTATAGGATTTGGGTTTTGTGAGATCCAAAAGTGGAAAAGCCAGATAAACCACCAGCAAAGCAAATTAGTCATAGTGGGACATGTGATTCTACAGGTCCTAAAGAATCCTATAGTGTTTATGGTTATTATTGGTATCACTGCACACTTTGTTCTGCATCAAAGAATCCCAGTGTTCATGGCAGAGTTTGTGGATGGCTTGGCTAACTCTTTTGGAGGAGCAGCTCTCTTCTATCTGGGTCTGTCCATGGTGGGCCAGCTAGGGAAGTTAACCAAGTCCACTGCTGTGACTCTAATCCTGCTTATCACTGCAAAACTGTGAGTGAAAACCACCACTAGCCACTTTACATAGTTGAAGTTTTTTACTTTTTATTCTACACATATTCTTAGATTGTAACACTGTTTCGTAAGACGACTTTAACAGGACTTTATTAAGAGCAGAAATATACATTATAGTTATATGCCAATATTTTGGGTCAACATTTGGACTTTTTAGCTGCTGCTGCATAAAAGATACACACAAAGGTGTATTTGAACATGTTAGTCAGAGATAACTGCTGAAAACACGATTGCACAGCTTTCCTTAATGTTTGTGGTTTAAACACAGCTGTGGATGAGAGTGCAAGAAATTCAAAATTTAAGGAAAAGAAGCTAAACTGGTCATACATACTTTGTATCGGCCCAAAAAATATCAGCAGAACTTATCAGCCAAAAAAATCATATCAGTTGATCTCTACTATATGACATTACAAATAATTATACACCAAACCTTTACAACTGTATCATGTATCATCATGTATCATCATCAAAACCCTAATTGACTAGAGAACATTAAAAAACAAACCACAGTGAGCCGTTTCATTATAGGATCTAGTTAGCCAACATGTTTTGAATGACTCAGACTTTAAAAGCTACAAGATTCAACCAAGCTGTTACATGTTTGCCTTGACTTGTATATTTAATGTTACTCCAATGCTGTCTTTACCTGTGGTGTTTATTATTATTAATAATCATATTCTTGCTTTTTATTATTATTATTTTATAGGTTATTATTACCCCTCCTTTGTAAAGATATGGTGGATCTGTTGGACAGTAGCAACACCAGCAGATTAAACCAATCCAGTCTCTCCAACTTTGCGTTTCTCTATGGAGGCTTCCCAACTGCACCAAGTGTGGCCATCTATGCTGTTTACTACAATGCAGAAGTTGAAGTTGTAAGTGCATATTTACTTGGAAGTATACATTTTACATACAATGTATCTATATATCTATGTAATTATCTTTTGATTTGTTTTCAGGTGACGTCTGGCATGGTCATTAGCACTTTCCTGTCAGCCCCTATAATGTATGTCTCTGCCTGGCTGTTGACGATCAGTTGGATGGATCCAGATGTTTTGAGGAAGTCGTTACAGAAAGTCTGCTTCAACATTAGTATATTGGGACTAGTTGTTTTGGTAAGTAGATATATAAACTAGTCTAGTGAGTGTGGGACTTTATTCAGTCTCTGGTTGCATTTTGTGCTCATTTAAATGTATTGTGTATGTATTGTTTCTGTCTACTTAGTCAAGACTTGCATCATATGTTGTGCAATTTGTTCCGTATTGCTACACATGAATGTTTAAAGTCCAGCCCCATCATTGGCCTAAGGAAGTAATATATACAATACAAAAACATTAATAGACATTTCTGTTTAACAGGTTTGGACGATAAGTGTTATGTTTCTCAGTAAGAAAGTCAAGAGACTACCTCAGATGTTTGCAGCTCATTTATTCTTTGCACAGGTCCCTACACTAACACATGAAACTTGCAAAATATCAAATTCTGAAATTATGTTGCATTTGTAACAGTTTGTCTTTGCTTTTATAGTTCATGACATGTTTTGGAATGATCCTGTGGAACTATATTGTTTACACAGATAATTTCATTGGACAGATCGTTACTTTCACAATATTGTGTATCTCCCTCTACAGCACTTATGTGTGGTCAGGTAATGACATGTACAAAAATATTCAAGAAACCACCTTTGATTATTTTTAACACAATTATTTTTGTTTTAGGTTTAATAGCATTGTCTCTTGTTCTACTGAAAAAGTATGAGGATGTGAAAGTGTCTTCAGGCATGATAGCTCTTGTGGGCTGGGGGTGAGTAACTAAAGAAAAAAGAAAGGAGAAATGAAAGTTTATAAATTATGACTCATTTGCAGACACAAATATTTGCAAACAAAAAAAAAAACAACACAAGCAAAATGCTAGACTTATGGTTCTTTTTATTTTGCTCTTCTATTACCAGGGTCCCCATCTTTGTAACAGGCATTTTGCTCATGTCTGGGAAAATGGTGCCTGACACTATAGATTTTGCTTTCTTTTATGGCAAGCCTCAGGTGTGTAAACCATCCAACACTTTGATCTAGAGTTTTGCTGTAGTTGAAAAGCCCACTACAGTATTGCCTTTGTCTAAAGTCCTGGCTTGTCCTCTTCCAGATCATCTGCTCCACAGTCATGGCTGCTCTGAGCATACTGCTGGCAGGGGGCTCTCTTGTGTGTCTCAGCAGAGGAACCTGGGCACAGAAGGATGAAGGAAACTCTGACACCTTTGAAGACACTTTGGTCGAACCTGAAAGTCCAAGTCTTTCTGAGGCAAATGGTCTTTCAGGTGATAGTGACAGAGGTATCACTTTTTTACATTGTTATGAATCAGACCTTACTTTGTACATGCAGCCTGTAACCTCATCATTAATCACTGTGAAAATGGTGGAGCTGAGTATTTTCTAAAGCTCTTATTTATGTTAATTTTTGTGCATTTTCTTTGCTTTGAGTGAATGTTAAGGTCAGTTTACATCTGGCATACACTTTCATAGACTTGTCACTTTGTTATCAGCTTGCCTCATATGTGATTGCGCCCCACCTCAGCCCATGCCTGATATGATCACAAGCACTAATATGAACAACCAGCCTTCACTCAGAGGTATAATTGAGTCTGCAATGATTGTCTTTTGTACACAAACCCAGCAGACCTACCTAATAGATGTTTTTTGTATGTATGTCCTTGAAACATTTCTCCTGTTCTGCAGATCAGTGTGAGGATAACTGTGAGGCGAGCGAGTGCCTGCTCATTCAGCAGGAGGAGGAGCGGCTGCAGGCTGTAGACAGACAGGTGGCCCGTCATGTTCTCTTGTGTCTGCTCCTCACTGTCTGCTTGTTTGCTGTGAGTAACTGATCTCAGGGTTGAATTTAAACAAGTTCATTTTAACTCATTACTCTTTCCCAACACAGAGCCATGGTCCATTCATTTACACGATCTATTACATGACTTTATATTATACTTCCTTACCCGTCAAGTGTTAAATCCATTTTAATTCCTGTTTTGACAGAACTTGTCCAGCTGCCTGTGGCTGCTGTTGAATTCTATTCCAGGTAGACTCTATTTAGAGCTGCAGTTCTTCTGTGCTGTGGCTAACTATGGGCAGGTAGGTAACGGTTCTTGTACTGGTAATGTTTTAGTACTGGGATTAATGGTTTGTGTATCTGTGTTTTAACTGTGAGGCTTTGTGCACACAGGGACTTCTCTCATTTGCACTGTTTGGGTTGGACAAACATTTTATCATTCTGCCTTTTAAAAGAAGGTACTTTTCTAGACAATTTTAAGTTTTTCCTAAACAAATCCGTGTGCTCAATACATGTTTGATAAATGCTTAAGGTTATACGCCCTGTGGAACAGAAGACAGCGGGAGCAGCCCCAGACAGATCTGGGTATAAGGATGACCTGCACTCAGTTCACCAAATACCACAAAGATCAGTGTAGTCATGATATTGTCAGACAGAGAAGGTGAGAGTGGGTTTGCATACCTGTGTTCTTGACATCTATAACAACAAATATTTTCAGTGTTTTAAAATGTTTTCTTACAAATCCTGCTAACATACTTCTTCTTGGTGGCTGGCTCTGACTTGTAGGTGTGGGAAGAGGACTATAGTGGCCTGTTTTCTGGGCTGTGAGTTGGTGGACTGGCTGTTGCAGGTGGGTCTAGCTCTGGACCGTGGAGAGGCTGTTCTTTATGGAATGAGGCTGCAACAGGGTGGTGTGCTACGGCATGTTAACCATCTGCATTGTTTCCAGGACAGTCCTCTGTATTATCGTTTCACAGAATGAAGTAGAATATTAAAAAAATTAAATGTCCAGTTCATGATCAAATAATGCAGTTTCAATGCAAAGTTTGCCTCTTATTTACATTAAGGGAAATTTTCTTCTACTGTCTATATGAAAAACTAATTTCTTAATAACCCTCTTTAACAACTTCAATTAAATGTATGACTAAAGCACATGAGACATTTCATATTTTCTAAGGACAAACAAATTTTATACCATGCTACAAAATCACCCATGTCATTTCAAAGCTTTCTTTTAATGTAGTAGTTGCTGTTTTTTCATTATTAGTTATGGCCTCAAATAGTGTCACACTGTAGAAATTCTTTGCTTAAATACCTCAATATTTGTCAAAACCGGAGAAGGGATGATGTCATTTGTACTGTCAGTCTTAAAAGTGTTCATCAGTACTTCATCATGTGAATGAATTGTGATTTTATTGCTTGGCTGCTTGTAAATGTACACAGGATGAGGGATTGTCATTTTTTTCTAGTTTATTGCAGTATTATGTACAAAATATTTAATTAATATATTTTATTGATTTAATAAATATTGCAATGCACTTAATTAATCGGACCATGGCCATTTATCATTTGTAATACAGTATTATACATATTATACAACACTATGATGTTCTTGCTGCTTGATTAATGTTTTTCTTGTCTTTAGTGCAAACACTGGATTTTATGCAACAGTTGTGTTTTCAACAAGTAGAGACATGTTCCCTTAGCTTTTCTCATAAATAGCCATCTCCTCTTGAACACAGTTTGAAAACAAGTTGACCAAGTAATCTGGCTCCGTAATACCCTCTGAAACAATCTTCTCCATCTGATCAATCTTGTTTTTTTCAAGTCCCCTCATCTTCTCTGTGATCTTCTGTCCTCTGTCCTGCAATTCAAACAATTATGAGTTACAAAAAAAAACAGTAGTCCAACAAAATGGCACAATTTCAACCTTGTAGGACTCAATAATGGCAGATACGAGTTCATGCTTGACAAATAACGCGTGTTTGCGATCGGGTTTGCTTTGGAAACGAGGCTTCTTCTTCACTGGATCATCTGCACCATAGTTAGGAGAACAGGTCTCTTTAAACTGCCCCACACCTTCCATAAAAACGAAGGGTTTGAATACAGACCTGAAAGATATGTACATAAAAAAAAAGTATTAAAAGTTCAAAGTGTTGGTACATCTTTCAACAAATGAGATGTCACAACCAAGATTGTAATTTGTATATGACTGGTGTGTAGCTTGGAGAGACATCAGGCTGTGTTGTCAATCAAAGTTATGACAGATGAAGTAAATAGTACATATTGTTACTTTATTATGGCATGTGTAAATGGATTATGGAGGCTGTTAATTCAGTATTTTTGTCTTTTGCAATTTCTTTAGTTTTTAACATTTTATTGGGGATAGTATAACCAAAATGGAAACTCATGAGATGCTTTTGCTCTGTACTGGTTATAGTATCAATATACTGATACTTTGAAGTGACATCACACTGGGGGTATTGTATATGTAGCTCTATCCTGGACAGTTCAGAAGTTACTATGATGACACACACATTAGCAAACACTGTTTTAGATTGTTTGAAAACTCAAGAAAAACACAAAGTGGATTTAAAAACCTGTGATCAATACGACTGTTCGTGGTCCTGTTTAGACATTCAGTTTTGAGTTTCCTCTGTTGCATTTCCAGCCAAGTCAAATCTTTCTGGTCAAATTGTGTTAAAACAAAGCTCAGATTAAAGTCTAACTCGAGTAACAGAGCTTCAGACACAACAATGTCTACAGTTAACATCACACCCCCAGAGAATATTGCGAAGTATCAATATTACAATTCTATTAAAACCATCTCATACCGCTCTGGATCTGGGGTTGCAGTAAAATAATGCACGGCTGGCAGAGTTGGATCAGTAGGGACCACAGACACCATGCTCCCTGTGGACATGAACATTCCTTCCATGTTGATGCCACTTTCTTTATCTCTCAAGATATCCATCATTGTTTCTGCAGTAATAGAACCTTAAACATAAAAATAAAATACATCATTGAGCCTCTGTTAGGTCTGTCATGATAACAAATTTTTAAGTGCGAAATACTGTCAAAGCCAAACCAAACCACATACCCGAATTAGCCCAAAAACGTATTCTAAATGTACAATATTGTAAAAAAAAAGAAAAAAAGAAAGTGCAATAAGTAAATGACAGAATGCAAAATGTTAAGTAGTTAGTTTCTATAATGAGTCATAGAAGTTCATAATGCAACACTCTACAACTCAAATATCTTAGTACATAAAAATAACAAAAATTCTCCCTCTAGTACAAAGTAAAAGTACTCATGATAAATAATGACCCCCAAAAAGTACTGTCTCATCTGTCATGTACTAAACAATAACTTAATAATCATATTTATCATGACAGGCCTATCCTTTGTTTTAAAATCTCCCATCAGCTGATCAAAAGACTTCAACACCATTTACCATTGCTTTTTTCCAGTAGCATCTTCCCTTCACAGTAGCGACTCCCAGAAGCCTCAATTCTGGCAGTGGTCAGGTAGGAGTAGACTGTGGCAAAGTTAAACTGTTTCTTTCCATCCCACCAGCCTTTGCTGCGAGCGTAATCCCTCATCTCAGGGTGCTCTTTGTCAATCTTAGTAGTGATGCCGTACTGATTTGAAATGTTGCGATATCCACCTAAAAAACAATTAAAACTTGTAAACTCCAAAAATACTTTAATATAGATCAAACAAAGTCATAGGCCCTATTTTTTATGCTTACTCTCCACTCTCTCTGCTGCCCAATACTTGGCAGATGTCTCCAGCAGCCAGGCCTCCTTCCTGTCAGAGATGAGGAAACTGTTGTGGTAGGTGAAGCCGCTTTCATCTTCCAAACAAGATCCTCCCTGACCATATTTCTGCAGAAGCTCAGTGATCACATCCACTGCTCCCTCTGCTGTGTCTGCCCTCTCAAGCCCTAGTCTGGAAAACAAGGATAATGCAGTTCAATATATTATAAAGTAGTAATAAACATACACTTAGAAATTAACCTAATTGTGTGGCAAGTACAGAACAAGGAAGAAGCTGATACCTGACTAGGTCCATGCCAAGAAGCGCCTCCTCATCATCAACACTCTCTCGGCCCCAAACTGCTTCATTGCCAATGCACACTCCATACTCATTTGCTCCCATCTCTGCTCCCCACAGCCAGGCCGGTTTACTCAACACCACTGCATGTGTGTGGGGGACCTGCTCAATCTCCATGTATGTGCACTTCACAAAAGATAACAAGGTTACGGCATTGCAACTTACCAATTTCCAATCATTCTTAGACAATTGTGTGACTGTTACCCACTTCTACAGTCTCGCCCTCTACGTGGTCACTGGCAGGAACATACACCACCTCCTGCACCTCATCACAGGGCCTGTCCGAGTTCTTCCCAAAGATGATGCGCTGTCCCACAGTGGAGGGAGGCAGAGCTACAAATGTGTCGCAGGATGATGGCTCCATTTTATCCGCTAAGTCAAAAAATTAGATATAAAAAAGTAGATATTTACATTGCATCATAGAACTTCATTTACTTGTAGTCGCTGTCATTAATTAAAATCGATCAAATGCACACAGATGAAAGGTTATGTTTAACACCTGAGGAAGAATTGTGTTATTACATGCAATGATTCACACCCAAGTAATAGACTAACTCTTACAAGCATCAATATGGAACATGGACTAAAAAGGTGCATTTGTTTTTCAATGTTACCTGTGTCTGTCACTTTGTAGTTTCTGTTTTCATTTCTGCAGACCCTTCTTTTCGCCAGATCACCTTTCCAGTGACACGGAAACAGTATGTCACGTGACGTAAACAATGCCAAAATATTCTGATAGTCCCTTTTATGGGTTTCAATCTAAAATAATAAATAAACCTGTAAATAGTAGGCTATGCATGGTAGTCCATCATGCATACGTTTTCTTGGCCGTTGGTTTTGGCATGTCCGTAAGAAACGTAACTAAAACTAATAAATAAAGTCAAGTCTAAATCCAAAATCCAAATGTCCTTTACAGAGCTTGTTCCGCTGATGTTTCGCTGCAAGTTTCTAAAATAGCGTAAATTTAAATAACACTAAAAAAACAGCTGTGTTTAGTAGCTAATAGTCCCTTGAAATAAGATAACAGCGAGACTTCACAATTATACTCTATAAAGAGAATGTTTTAATATGGTTTTATTTTGTCAAAGGAGATCACTTTTGTAATCATTTCCGGAAGTGCGGCTGGTCAGTCTGTGGAGTTTGTTTACATGCGGAACTAGAGCGAGCTAAAAATAAATCATAGCTGTCACTTTGTGTAAAACTGTGCGGCAGCCATGGGGAAGTCATTTGCTAATTTTATGTGTAAGAAAGATTTTCATCCTGCGTCGAAGTCAAATATCAAGAAGGTCAGTAAAAATGTTTCCTTCGCTCTAGTTGTCGCATGCTACCTAGCCTGCTATGCTAACTTAGCATTGATGTTACTCGAAAATATGTGATGTGGTAGGACTGTTTACTCTGTTATTCTGCTGTAGGATGTATTTACAAATGTTATTTTACAACGGTGAATGTCTACTGCATGTGTAGCAATGAAGACTTCATGTTACTAAATTTAGTTCATTGCTAACTAACTTATGGTGGGTGAGCTGTAGGCTGCTTCAGACAAAAATTATGAGACTTGGTTCAATAAATCAATTCTTTTAACAATTACTCAACATTTTCAGCTAAAATAAATATGATGACAAATGTAAGAAAATTAAAACTACTACGCTATCCTCTATGCTAAAGTCTACAAATTGCAGTCACCAATATCATCCAGTAGAGGGAGACATTAGGCGTCCCTCCTGGGAACCATCTATGTCTTGTTGTGTTTAGATATTGTTTTATTATACAATATTGTATATTATTGGTGGATCCTTACAGACTGCAGATTGTTTGGAATGTTTTGTGCGTCTATTCAGCTGTTTCATCATTAAGAAAAACCTCTAATTTCTTACTATATTATCTTTTGTGAGACAGGTATGGATACAAGAACAGAAACTCACCTTCGAAAAGAAGAAACAGGAGGAACTGATGCAGGCCTATCTGAAAGAGCAGGAGACCTACAACAACAGGTACAATGTTTGTCTCTTTAATGTAGTCATCAGTGCTTATCTGAATAATTTGCAATTGATGTTTCTAATAAATAAAATCATTTGTATTTTTCCCTTTAGGGTCCTGATGGGAGATGATCGTGTCAAAAATGGACTGAATTTCATGTATGAGGCTCCACCAGGAGCATCCAAAGGTAAGTACAATCCCAAGGCATGATGAATCTACCTGAATTTTTCGGACTAATTAATTTTTGTATTTTTTTCCTGATGTGCTGTCCATTTTGAAGAGGAAAAGAAAGAGGTAGGGCGTGCTTGGCCTATCCCTTATTTCTACCCAAGTCAAGTTTGAATTATAAGATAATATGTTTCTGTGTATCTTCCAGGAGGGCGATGAGGAATGCAAGTTTGAATGGCAAAAGGGAGCTCCTCGAGAGAAGTAAATTGTTTACACTTTTGTTTTTATTTATTGTTGTTAGAATCAGACTAATTGCTTTTCTTAAATTCTTCTCTCAGGTATGCAAAAGATGACATGAATATTAGGGATCAACCATTTGGAATCCAGGTGCGTGAACCAAACAATCAGATTTTCAGAAACTAAAAAGGAGAAAACCATTACCATTTAGCTGTATGGCTTTGACTACTTCAATTCAGTGAGACAAACGATAGCACAACTTTTTAATTTGATTTATTTGGTTTATTTATGTTTCATTGTATTTATGGCATATTTTATCTTTTTACACAGTGTGTTAGCCATTTTAAATTTGTATTTTTTTTCCCCACATTTGAATCTTACCTCAGTAATTTGAAACATTATCTGAAAAAACAGTTGAGTAGTAGTAGTAGTAGTAAATGGTGAATTATACATCTAATTTTCAACTGCTTGGATAAACTGATAATTTACATCCCATTTTAGATTTTATTTTATTTCCATCCCTTTACACAAAACTGTTGTTTCTCCAGGTCCGCAATGTGAGGTGTATCAAATGCCACAAATGGGGCCACGTGAACACAGACAGAGAGTGTCCACTCTTTGGGCTGTCGGGGATCAATGCCAGTCATATGGCATCAGATGATGGAGCAGGTATTTTTCTCTTTATCACTGTAAAAATAGACAGTAAAACACTCTTTGTGGACAGCATTTTGAGCTTTTCTGTTACCCCCACTGTATCCTTTCTCTGTCTGCCGGGGCTCCCAGTCTAGCTCTTGATTCTGGGTTGTGCAATCAGCAAGTTGAGTAGTAAAGTAATAATGTTTACCCTGGGAGAGTCCAGTCAGTGCATGGTCTTGATGGTGGAGTGCCGTAATGGTTCCCCTCCTGTGCCGGCAGAAAAAATGTAATTATTGTGTATTCTGCTTGCCCAAACCGCTGCTTTGGCAGAGAATGATATTGTATGATTTGCTCAGCCGGAAGTGGAGTGAGTTGATTTGATGTCCCATTCTGTTAACAAAGCCGCCCCTGAAATTCCCACTGTGGAGATAGTGGCTGGCATGGCTCTGACATGAATGGGACTCTAAGGCTGTGATTTGTGCTAACAGGTCCGTCGATGCACCCCTCTGAGTTAATGGCGGAGATGCGAAACAGTGGGTTTGCCCTGAAAAAATGTGTCCTTGGTAGGGATGCGACTGTTTGTGATCCAGCACAGGTAATTGTCAGTCTCCCACTCCCCGTAACATACACATGCAGTATATACCTTCACCTTTACCTGAGATAGAAGACTCCACAAAGTAGAATACATATATACAAAATTGCAATAATACTTTTAGTACTATCTATATTTATTTTGGGATAATTTTCATAATTTTTTTTATGTAGGAATTCGTTGCCAGTGAAGAAGAGGAAGATCCAGAGGTGGAATTTTTAAAGTCATTAACATCAAAGCAAAAACAGAAGCTTCTCAGGTAAAATTATAACAGTAATAAATTGTATTTATAGATGCCCTTGAAGACATCCAAGGACACTGAACAAAAACGTTGACAATTGTAGTTAATTTTTTTTTAAATTATTATTATGTTTGACTCCTTTTATGCAGGCAGCATAAAATAAAAAAATCACATTGCCCAATTTAGTGGATTTAAAAATTAGCTATTATTGTTATTTTTTAAAGTTTGATATTTTAGTGGCAATGTTTAGTTGTTTAGTTGTGCATGTCATATTTTGGCATTTTTATACGTCACTACAATTTTCTTTTTGTTTTCGTATTTTTGCTGAACAAAAACTAAATTTTCAACATAATATCAGGGCAGTTGCTAAATGTATTCTCTACACAGAAAACTTGACCGCCTTGAGAAACAGAAGTCCAAGAAGAAAAAGAGCAAGAAACAAAAGAAGAAGAGCAAAAAGAAACATAAGAAAAAGGCGGACAGCGATTCCTCAGACTCCAGCAGCAGCGACAGTGACAGCAGCAGTGACAGTAGCTCCGACTCTAGCCCCAAGAAGAAGAGTAAGAAGAAAACATCCCGTCGAGACAGCAGCTCTGAAAGACACGCCAAGGGACACAAGAAGTCCTCTTCTCACAGGAGCAGGTCACCGAGCCTGCGCACCCATCACGACGCGGACCATTACCACCAGAGGAAAAACAGGGCAAGCAGTCCAGTGAACAAGCATCAGGGAGGTCAGGACAAGCAGAGAGGTAAGGGGAGCGGAAGTAAAGACGACAACAGGCATCACAGAGACAGTGATGAAAGGAGGGACAGGGCTGAAGAAGGGATGAGGAAAGACAGAGGAAGGAGTAGGAGTCGAGATAGAAAGGAGCGGAGAGATAGGAGTAAGAGCAGAGAAAGACGGAGGGATAAGGAGGATACAGGGAGAAGTAGGAGCCAGGAGCGAAGGAGGGATAGAGAAAACAGAGAAAGGAGTAGGAGCCAGGAGCGGAAGAGGGATAGAGAGGACAGGGGTAGGAGCAGGAGCCAGGAGAGAAGGAGGGATAGAGATAACAAGGGTAGGAGCAAAAGTAGGAGCCCACGGAGAAGGGAGAGTAGTCCAGACAGAGACAAAAGAAAACACTAACAGTTTTGCCGTTGACAAATTCTGTTATTTCACATCTCTTATGGACTACCAAATCGGATCTCCTACAGTTTCTCCACATGAAGATTAGAGCGTCGTACCTCTGTTCACCAGTAGAGGGAAGCAGTCCACAGACAATGTAGTTAAGTAGGCCATAGCAGTGCGGTTTCTCCTGCTGTGTAAATTAATTTATTTGCGTTAGAGGCAATTCGCTGCCTTAACGCGCAAATTTTATTTTAATTTTTTAGGACCTGATTGAAATAGAAAAAACGTTTTGGATACTTTTTTTTCTTGTTGTATTTTATTTAAACAAAAAAGACAACATTGTTTGAAACGACTGTTATTCTTGGATTTTATCCCTAATAAATATTAGAGTTCCAAATATAATTGTTTGCATTAAAAAGAACATATAAATATATCCTGTTGAGATTTTTTTTTTTCACACTGAGCAGGTTTACGTAAAATCAATGTACTGCAATGTATTTTAAGCTTAATAAATTCAAGCTTTTTGGAAATTAATTACGCACTGTTTTAGTCGTCTGATATTTTTATGCGTATTTCTAAATTACGAAATTTTCTCGGAAATCTGTGCTCTTCAGATCAAGAGTAAAATGTAGCATAGGATGACCAATGTATCAAAAATAAACGCTCGTTTCCAGTAACAGTAATAATTATTGCTTTTTTATTTTGCTTTTGTCTATTTTTTCTCGTTTCAACTCTTTTGAGCCACTTCAACGTACACCAGTTTAAACAAAAAATAGGCTATTTTCCATCAATAAAAAATTAATTACATTCAAAATAAAAAGAACACATTTTAAAATATTGTCTCCAAGACATAACATTTGAGTATTTTCCTAAATGGGATCCTGTCTGATCGCTCGTTTAAAAGCCTTGTTGCGCCAAAGGAAATGAAAATAATTTGCCTGTATTGCCTTCTGCTCAATTTAACAGGCGCCTGAAAGAGGCTGTGTGCAGGATGCCTCTCCCTGACGTATTCCCATCGTGCACCGAGCTGTAATTATTATTCCTTGGCTTTTCCTTGAGTCGGACGCTGCACTGGCTACGCACAAAGAAGTCAGAGAGCATCCTTGAACCCTTTCAGCGCGGGGCCACTGATATTCAAATAACACACAGGCCATTTGACTGCACCGCGCGCACTGCATTTCAAATCCAACATTTGCATCTGACTCTTGGCCCTGGCTTTTTCTGAAGTTTAAAAAACCGTTCCCATAACATCTTTGTGGTTTGTGGTAAAGAGGAAAACCCGCCATATAGCACAATTTTCGCTCCATGGATATGCAAATTCTAGCAGTTAATTTGGACAATTAGAATAAATATTCAGGGACCTTTGTCATCAAACCCCCCTAGACGGCCCCCGATAAAGTGCGAGTGAACAAAAGACGCTCGCAGATTAATTAGATATTTGATAAGACACGAATCCCTAATCGCACAGACAAGACACATGGGGCTGCGATGTGCTCCAAGTCATAATTAATAGCATTTAACAAGGTTTTCATTTGGCCATGAAATGTCTTTTCCGGGGCATTAAACATTGATCTGTTCCGTAGGGAAAGCGTCACAGGCGGCTTACCAGACCTGGTTTTAGGCAAATAACCTTTACACCAGGCCTTTACCCCCTAATCCTCAAATATTCAACATGTTCATGTATTCTAGCCAAGACAAATAATTCACTAAGATACAATTAAAGCCTTTTAAGACGTTTTAATTAATTACGATAAAATGAAAGTCTTATACGTGTGACTTTATACAGGTAAACATTTATATATAGATATTTGAGCAAAGAAAAAATGGTAACCGAGGTTAGGGTAAGCTTGGTACATACATATCCACAAAGTGCGTCCAAAGTAAACTCCCTGATGTCCAGGATACCAACACGATAAAACAATAGAGCCGAACATTTACAGAAAACACACAGTTGAGGCGTCATTTACAAATGCAGCTCACAATGTCCCGAGTTCAACAGGCTCTGCGTTCTGCAACATCCGTGTCCCCGGCCTGAGGTGAGCCGGTGCCGCTGTGAGACAGTCCTCCGTCTGTCACTAGACCCGTTTAACAGTGCAGTCTGTGGCTGTGTCAGGCCTACGGCTCGTCGTGAGGAGACGGCTCCTTCACAGTGATTCGAGGGTTGACCCCCTCTAAAATCAGTTCTGGGGACTCGGACCTGGGGGTCTCCAGGTTACTGGTGTCGGTGTCACTGTCGCTGCCCTTTTTGCCACCTCCTCCTGCCGTGTGCGTTTTGATGTGCTTGCTCAAATGGTCACTGCGCATGAAGCGCTTGTTACACACCGGACACGCGAACCGTTTTTCACCGGTGTGCGTGCGCAGGTGTCTCTGCAGTTCGTCTGAACGCGTGAACCTTTTCCCACAGAAAAGCCAGTTGCACACAAACGGCCTCTCGCCGGTGTGCCAGCGCAAGTGCGCCTTGAGATGTGATGTTTTTCCATACACTTTCCCGCAGCCTGGGATGTGGCAGCTGTGGAGTCCCTTCCTCCTTAGACTAGCCCCCGCGGGCCCCAGCCGCTCGGCCTCCTGGCAGTTGGGACAGTCACATGTGGCCCTGCCTGAGTAACGCCGGGACGATCGAGACGAGCTGCTTATTCCTGAGCCACCTCCAGAAATCATGGCGTTGGCAGAAGCGTCTGTGTACGTGGGAATGACAGTCTTGAAGCCGTCCTGCGTCAACAGGTGCTGGCTCGTGGACAGGATGTGTGAGGCAGAGGGGCTGATGCCAGTGGAGCTGAAGGCAGAGTGTGTGAGAGAGGAGAAGTCTGGGTTGTAGCCGCTGAGCTGGGGAATGGCCTGGGGCGCACCGGAGTGCAAAGAACTCTGCAGGGAGCTCGCGGGGTTCTGAACATCCAGCCACGAGCCGGGGTTCGTGTGGACGTCCCACCACGAAGAAGCGCCGTTGGCCACGTCCCCGGAGATGGTGGAGTGGAAGCCGGACTTGTACCAAGACTCATAGGGGTGCGCCATGCCCACGCGTGGGTAGAGGCTCTCGGCAGACGTATGCACTTTAGAGATGAACGCAGACTGACCGGACTCCTGAGAGGTGACGCTGGCGGAGTTGGAGAACAGGCCGCTGTATTCGCTGGAGAACGCCGAGGATGTGGGGGATGTAGAGGCTAAGCAGAAGGCGCTGTTCCCTGCTCCACTGGTCGGGGTTAGTCCTGTGGACGCGCGGCTTGTTGCAACTGTGAACCCTGGCAGACTGGAGCCTAGGTTACAACTGGACGAGGACCTCTTCCAGGGGTGAAATCCACCTTTGGAGAAAGCGCTGGAGTCTGGCAAAGTGGTTAGGGGACTGGTGTTGCCGATTTTGTTGCAGGTTGCTGCCAGCATTGCTAAAGGTGTAGTTCCAAACCGTGGCTCTTCCTGGAAACACGGGGCATAAATTAAAAAAAAAATGCAAGCGCCACACAGCTGTATATCACAAAACACAAATTTACCTCAGTAAAATGTTTAATTTCAATTTTTGTAAACGTCTTCTTTTACATTAGAGAAATAAATGAGGACAAATGAACTGTGTTCAAAGCACAACGTGCAGCGCAACTTTTGGTAAACAACGAGTCATTTACGCAAAATAAAGTTATGAAGTTGTTGAATTGAGCTTTTATCGCGTTGAGTTTATTTCTGAAAATCGCGATCAAAGCAAACAAAATGTGACACAAAACAAAACATTAAGATTAATGCTCAGACTCCACTAAATAAACAAAAACGCTTTTATAACTTTTGCACTTTTTCTAACTTATTTGCACAAAAGCAGCAGTAAACTTACCCCAAGTATAGACGTAGCCATATCCAGGGTCTGCGCTGCGAGGAGAGAGTTCGCCAGTTCGGTGCCGTACAACTCCAACGTGATCCGGACGCACCGTGTTTGACTTGGGTCACACGGTTTCTCTCTCTTGGCTCTCAGCTCGAGTCTCTACCTAGTTGTACTGAGCGTGTTCTTTGAAGTACAGCTGGCGAGGACGCGCAGCCAATCTAATTGCTGCATCCGTGGTCGGGGATGAAGTCAGCCAATGAGAGACGCAACCGCAGACAGAAACACCAAAAGCCCTCCGTCAATCATGTGCTGTACAGCCTCTGCGCTGACTGTCATACAAGACACGATTTGGTATTTTTAATGCATACAGTTATTTTATGTATCCTCTCACGAAGTCTCAATGTCTCATTTCTGGGCTGAATTGAGTGCACACGTGATATCGACAGAGAGGTAAGCGTTTCACTCTTTCTACGCGTTTGTGGACCGATGTAACGGCAGCATCACCGTTCTCCCAGGTTTTTATCTATAAGACCATGCGCAGCACGTGAGAGTTAGTGTAGGACGCATATAACCGCGCGAGCCTAGCCTATAGGGATTGCATGTGTTTGCTATAATTATTATGCGTCTTTTTTGAAAGAAAGGGGCTGTCTATATTTATTCAGCAGGAGAAAACGTCTAAGATTGACAGTGGGCTTCTCAGACATCGCTTGGATAAGTTCTGAGCAGCAAGAATAAAACTGTTTCTAAAACTACATTAAGAGCAGAAACTGATAAACTAAACTCACCTGGGAGCGCGCTACAGATGGTGCGCGTAACCGTGTTTACGCACGGACGTGTTCTCGCGCTGCACACCGTTAGGGCAGTGCAGGTGAGGGGTTAATTAAAAATGACAGCTCGCTTTAACAACACGTGGATTTTACTGTTGGAAAGTTTCAAAGTCCAGAGGATTTAAGGGCCCTACTCGTGTCTATTAAAGTCAATAAAACGTTTTAGATATCAGATTTTGATACATTTTACTGACAATTTAGATGATTAAATGTTTCAATTTCTCCCAACTTGTGCGTATTTTTAATACGCATATCCAATAAACTAATACGCCCCATAACTTGTTAAAAGGCGGGAGGATAATGGCACAATGTAAAATTGACCTGCTCCGATGTGAATCATCATCATCATTTTAAAAGGTAAAGCAATTTTCCACAGAAAGGCTTGACCGAAAGATGTGCATTACTGTAGCCTATTCAAAGCGGACAGATAATGCTCCATTATGGGGAGAACGCTGCCAGTCAACACAGGCGCAATTTGTTCAAATCTCCCTTTTGCTTTAAAAACCTCCTTTTGGAGGGGCAATAAAACCAGCCACATCAAATACCACGAGCAGAAGATGGAATAATTCTTCCAATCACGACAATTTGCCAGAGTGCTATTAAAAGTATTAAATGTCTATTATACATAAACAAAGTTGAAGGCACTCAATTAGCGCGCGCATAAAATGGAAACAAATGGAGAAATAATGGCATGTATTTTTCTAAGCATAAACGGCTTTCATATTGGGTAGTCTTTTAGATATGCCATCACAAAGGCTAATATATTTTTTAAACCACGCTTATGTTAAATCAAATCTGTAAAATGCTTCCTAATAATTTGTGTTATTAAATTAACCTCCAGGCTATAGGCCCAGCTGAAATACTGGGCATTTAAACCGGAAGATTTGTAAAACAGTGCGCGTAAATAAATACATATTTCATTTTTCAAATAAAAATGTGATAAAACACTACATAGAATTGCATATGTTTCGTGGTCTATTTAGTTTGGACAAAGGCAGGGGACATGCTCTTGCCCTGTCATTGCAGTAGCATTTCTGAGCTGAATCTGTAATTCCGTACTCCATTCGTGAGCACTTCTCTGTGGCAATTAGGAACCTATTACAAGCCATTAGATTGATCAATGTACCTTAAACAATAGGAATGATTTATTTGGTCGAACAAAACGCTCTGCATCTATTGTGATGAGTCTAAGTGGGGGAGCATCCATCAACAAAAGATAAATGATTAATCCAGACCTATTCATTTCAATTCGCACTACAAAAGGCTGCCACCCTTCGCCTCAGATCCAGATTATTAGGGGCTGTTTTGTGCATGTTAAACCAGACAGGCTGCGGGTTTTAGTTGTGCCCCCGCGCGCTTTAATTTGTACTTCTGCCGAGCGAAGTTTATTTGAGGACATTTAACTAATTGTTGTAATTTGGTGTGCTCATGTGGCTACACCTGTTTCACTCAGAGTGGGATGCAAGAAATCACGAGAGCAAGGGTGGCACACTTTATTAGCGCGCTGCATTGTTGTCGTAACTGGCACACTTCATCTGGATCAGACTCATTAACAGAGCAAAGCTTTTTCGTAAAATATGACATTTTGTTTATTATATAATGTTAACTGTATATAAAATGTATGACAGTTTTGGAGCTAAATTGGCTTAATTTCAGTATTTTAAAAGTGTATGTATTGCAACAGTAGGCCTATTGTTGATTAAACAGGCCTATAGAGCTTAAACCTGTTGAAATAAGTGCACTTGTCACCATTAAATAATTGAGAACCTTTGTCTATATTACGCACTTAGACAGCTGAATCCTTTGAAATGGGTTAAGTCATAAATTCAGCCAGTGTTTGGGTTACACTATAGTCAGTGTAGTCCCAAGTCTTGATAAATGAAAAAGTCAGACTGGGCATCTGCCATGGCATGAAAACTATTGTATTAAATCACTATATGAAGTCATGCACGTTATAAACAGTGGTTATATATGAATAAAAAGACCACTGGAATTTTTTTTTTCATATGTCTGACACAAACCAGTTAATCAATAAGAATTAAAAAAGAACAATCCACAATGTTGGTCTTGGTTAGATAACAGTCAGGACAAATAAAAAGCTGCCCACTGATGACAAAGGATTCATTCATTACCATCTCCCCATCTACTTAATTGTAGGACAGTTTATGAACTTGCATTTTAGAATGGGCAGCTAAATTTAGCGCCAAATGTCGACTGGGCGGCTCACAGTGTCACCTTTCACTTCTGGGCTGCAGGTTCTATTTTTGAGTCCAGTGAGGGTACCCTGTTAAAGTGCAGTCGGCTAGTTACACGTGGTGACTTCTACTGTACGTGTATTTTTATTTCTTTGGCGTTCTTGAGCTTGTGTGAATCTAATCTGAAGTGTTCAAAATGGCTCCAAAGAAGGTTAGCCTGATCTGCAGGGCATTGTACTAGTATGTTATGTAACAGTCAGTGCCTACTCTGACTGCAGATCTCTCTCTGCTTTTTAGGGAAAAGGGGACTCACCCAAGCCTCCACCCATCATTGGAAGATTTGGGACCTCTCTGAAGATCGGAGTGGTTGGCTTGCCTAATGTTGGGTGAGTACATTTGGTGCACTACTTAGGACCTCACCACGAGGCTTGTTAATATATGCCAACATAACTAGAAAATTTAAAGCTCACTGTGAGATTGACCTGCATATTTAGGTGAAAACAAAATGCAAATTAAGAAACAATAAATGGTAGTCTGTCAGATGCTATGGTATGTGCACAAACAGTGAGTTCACGTTTAATGATCAAGTAAATGGTGGAGTGTCTGTGGGTATCTGGTTGGAAAATATAATATACTCATAATCACACATATTATACTATATATTTGCTTACTTTGCGGCACTGGATCAGCCTCACCTGACCTCCTCTCCAGCCTCCTGCCCCTCCCTGTGCAGTCACTCCCTGTCTGTCGTATAAACTCGTTTTTACGTGCTTTACTACTGTTACTTCACTTTTATGAGACTGCTCCACTCATCAGTCATCCAGCACTATTGTCTGCACTCACAGGAAATCGTGTAATGTCACACAATGGTTTATTAAGTATTGAACAACTCAATTACACTTTATTTTTGACTGGTGACATAGAATCAGTCACAGATGATTCACACAATCCTCTTACAAGATTCACTATTTCATATTTGTAACTAACAGGTTCCAGTATTTCATATTCAAATGTTTTGTTTCTGCTTTTCAGAACTCATTTTCACTTATGTATCGTAGTTAATAAGCTAATTGCAACTGAGGCGGAGTGCAGTCCTTACCAATATGTTTGGCTCCTTTATTCTTTCAGGTTTCTCTTACCTTGGAGACTTACACTGAATGTTTTCACTATAGCTCATTAGCTGTTGCAGTGTCATCTTTAAGAAACATTTTATTTAAAAAATGTAAATAATCTCTAAAACACAATAAGTACATTTATTTTATAGAGGAGTATTTTTGTCTTTATGTATGTACTTAATTTTGTCCTCGCCTAAGTTGAAACATTAGAAGTATATTTTAAAGTGGCATGTCAGAGACCTTTTGACTTGTGTATTAGGCAATAGAAAGGAAGGTAACAGGACAAATATTTAGTCAAATGATCAGGGTGTGTTTCAGTGCAGTAAGTCGTTAACGCTTACACCTTTACAAAATGCCAGGAAAAATGATTTAGAATCATCAATCAATCATAAATCAATCAATCAAATCAAGAGCCAGATCTGGAGGTTTTGCATTGCACATTGTAGTTTCTTTGAGGACAATACTAATACTAGTGACAGAGCTGAACAGAATCTGACAGGACCTTTGAAGCTTGCCAGTTGCCAATTAATTTAAACGCCTTTAAGCACTCATTTCATTCCTATTGTATTTCAGAGACAACTTGTTCTAAATCTTGTGCTTGTTCTAAACCTGTTCTTAATATCACTATACAGAGTTTTTTAGCAATGACTTTGGACGTTCCAATTTCTCATCTCTTGACTTACTATGGTAGCCCAGTGGTACCTCTTCAATAACTCAGTGTTGTAGTCCCGTCAATGGAATAATCACTTTTCTAGTCCATGGTTCCCAAGCAAAATCTTTTAATATATTCTAAAATTCTCGCTTCATTTATTCAATGTCTATAGCAAATAATACAACGAAAAGGCATAATAAGGCCTAAAATCTCGATTTTTACCCAAACAAAGCGTACTTTTACAGCTGGCTTTCATATATCCATCTCATTTACGATGGTGGAATCAGGGAAAC